ACATGGTTCACTCTCTTTCATCAGTATAACTTCTACTACACTTTGTCAAAATAAATGACTCTGCTAAGGTGATTGGAGGCACGTATCTCAGTTTATTGCAAGCCTCCAAAACTGATTGTAGAGAAGTACTCAAGGAACTTATTTACCTCAAATTAATCATGCAAACAAAAGTGAGGACACTTCTATGGGCAAAAAAATGTTGCCTCTTCATGGAAGTCTTTCTAAAATGGTAGTGATGAGGGAAATTCCGGAACAAAGACAGGCAGTCACTTTGCAGTGTTGCTATTATTGGTCTTCTGGGCAGCAGTCTCGAGTGACTGAATTGCAGACTGGCTGCGTTGGATATAGAAGTGCTGAACTTAATGGCATATAGGGCATGCGATGGCAGGATAGTGGAGTGCAAACAGGCATGAACTCGGGGAATAAGACATAAAGCCTTTTTCTGAAGTAGCAGCTGCCTCTATTTCGGTCATGATATCTTACTGTTCTCTAAAATGTCTCCACTTTACTCACTCCCAATAAGTAGGCAATGTAGGCAGTCTGACAATATACCTCTTTTCCCTAATTATTCAGTTGTAACTAAACCATATGCTCTTAGTCGAACACCAACCCACAAAAGAAGATGAAAAACAGAGTTAATGATTTTGCCTTTCCAGAAAAAGAACAAAGCATTTGCTTCTCCTCTCTGCATGTCCTTTTTATACTTTGGAGGAGGAAAGATACATGTGATGGAAAGTCTATGTGGGGAAGGTGAATTGTTTTGTAGACATAAACAGTGACTGTGCCTTGGCTTCCAAAGAATCTGTATTTCTATACGTGTGTGTGGGTGTGCACATGGATGTGCACACAGGTGTGTGCATAGAGGGAACAGACATGAGTTTGAGAGGTTAATGGTAGGTAGGGGATATTTTGAGCATTGTGTATTTAAGTCAGGAACTGACAAAAATATAGAAGGGAAAAGGTGATTGATGTGGAAAGCTAACAGGAGCAGAGAGGAGACTGAAAGAAAACCATACAGGAAAAAAAGGAAGAGAATTAGGTAGGAAAATATGGCAAGATAAATACTAGAGTAATATAAACTTAAAGCGGAAACAGAAATATTTAAAAATACATTGAAACAATAGGGAATGAATCAAAACATCAAGAAAAAAGATTAAAAAAACCCTAACACATGAAAGGTGACATAAGAGTTGAAAAAATGTTGAGAAAGCTTGAGACAAATATGTTTTCTCTACTTTAAAATGTTAACCAGAAACAAATTAGTAAAAGGGAAATAAGAAGTCTCATACCCTAGCTTGCCTGAGGCAACAAAGGGCCCAAGGCTTAAATGATGAAGGAACATTATTTAGCAGAAATTGGTGTTCAGAAGGGACTATGATTTGTTGTATTGTGAATGAATGCAATTGTCAGGAAAGAAATAAATATTTTTTCTGAGCTGGAAGATTGCACATCAGTAAGCACTTTTGGCACCATTGCTCTCTGATTTCATCTGCAGGACCTCCTGTTTTATCAAGACACAAGACATGCCTTTCTGGGATGTGCTGCTGTAAAGCAGAAAGCTGGGAAAAACTGAAGTGGTTATGAATGATTGACGAAGGCTAGAGTAGAAAGATTAGTTTTATTTTTTTTAATTGCTTCTGATATTCATCATCTTTCACCAAGCTTGTCCTGGCAGATTTTCAACTTCAGATAATAAAAATAAGGATAACCTTGAAGATACAGCACTAACTTTAAGGTTCTTAAGGTCTTAGTACTTCTGAACTAGTTGTGGAAGCCCACTGTCTTGTCAATGTGGAGTCCTTCTTCCCAGCTATGAACTATTTCATGAATAAGGGGGGACAGCATTCCATATTCTTATGGAATCAATGTTCTATCAAAACAGTATTTTTTGAGGGGTGGGTGTGAGTTACAAATATGCATATGGACAAATGTGGCAAAACATAAGAGTCTATAAATCTTTAAAAAAAACTTAACTAAGAGGAGAAGCTAAGGGACAGGAATAGGTTTGCTATTCCTTGACCTCCAGGTAGTGGAACATGACTTTACCTTGATAAACATTATTTCAGGCTGTCAGCCTTCTGCATATTCAATACCAGCAGAAATCAAAGTCAAATCTGATGTAGTCCAATGCAATTTTATTCTTCCTTTCAAAGTTACTCCTTTCAACAGCTGTGCTTTTTCTCTAATATGAAAGAATGCAATAATTAATTAGAACAGCTTTTGTCCTTTGCTTTAGCCTCACTAGTTTTTTTATGCTCAGTTATTTACTTAAACTCTTTAACAAGGGAAGTGTACACTCCTTTTCTGTGCCCATTTCCTTTTTGTTTATTTTCAGTGGAGGCAGATGCACATTAGTACCACAGTTTTGGGTAATTTAGCATGTGTCAATTTACAGTGATATCTCCAGTGCTTTGTACAGCATTACATCAATGCAAAATGGTTTATTACTGCATGTCAAATTACCAAACACCAGAGTAATTATTATAATAATACATATTGTTACCTTGACGTTGTTTATATTTAAGTATTTTTCACCCAATAACAAAGTAAGCTAAATAGCTGTAAACTGTAGCCCTGAATCAATGTCAATAACTGTATCTAGCAACAAAATGCAAAAAAAATATAGAAGGAAATGCAGGCCATACACTGACAAATGGAAATGAATACGTTGAACATAAAGTAAAAGAATAAATTAACACTTCTCTTTCTCTGCCTCAGTGTCCTGGAAAGCTGTATATAGATGATAGCATAACACACTACTGATTTGTTGCAGCTGCTTCTCTGTTTTCTGTCAGAATGTAGCTCACTCCAATTTTGTGCTCTATTTTCATTTCTCTTTTGTACAGCTCCAAACCCCAACATTACACTCTTTAGTAACACATCTGTCAAATGTCTACAGTTTTCAAAAAAATTACAGTAATTCCAAATTTATAATTCATCTTTTAAAAAAAAGAAACCTGTGTACTCTGGCAATATAAAATTGCCTTTTCTTATTAAGCTATTCAGATGTCAGTGCAATTGTTATCACTAGGACTGCCATCATTACAGATTATGATTGATATGCAAAAGGATGTGAATATAGCTATAAGATTTTCTTCTTTTTCAGAGTGGACACATAAAAATGCTTTAAAATAGTTCCTTTGTTTCAGTTTTCTTTTTAAAGCAAACATCTTTAGCAGAAATCTATTGAGGGCCTGGAGATTTAGGTTTGTCTGGGTCACTGGGCACCCAGATGTTCTGAGTTTTACTTCTGTGTTTAAAAACCTTCTGTGTTTTAAACCTCTAGTTTTGAAAAATTTAGCAGATAGCTGTGGCAAAATCTGGGAAGTTTTCACTTTCTGCTCTTAGGTTCCTAAGCAAAATCATTCTGAAAAGCTGTATTTCAGATACATGGAAATAACATTAAATCACAGTCTAACTACTTGGGTTAGCTTTTGTTTGCATAAGGCTGAGACTGGGTTTTGTTGGATGTCTCTAGAGTGATTATTGTATTTTTAGAGATTATGATATGAGTATGCTTTGATATTTGGCTACTGTGGGAAGGTAGCTGGGGGCAAAAATTAAAGAAAACTGAGATGTTCTATTAACATCTTAACAGAAGTTATGATGGTATGGAAATTATAGGGTCAAATGCAGCTGTTGCTCCCTGGATGGAATGCAGTTGGCAGCTCCATGATGATTCTCCACACAACAGTCAGCACTTGCTCAGGGGGATGGAACGGAGAGTGGGGCGGAGTGGAGACACCCGCAGGCAGGCTCTGTGGAACTCCCTGCAGAGAGGGGAACTTGATGTTACTTTGCAGCTGATAAATCGCATAGCACCTGTCAATCAAGGGAGAGAGGAGAAGATATCCTGCTGCTGAGCCAACAACTGTGGTGAAATCTCTCTCCTTGGATGAACTTGGTTCATAAAAGCTTAATTGTAATATTAACGCACACCACCATCCCAGAGTTACCTGCCTCCAAGATACGACCACCTCCCATTGGGCATGTGCTCTACATTTTTTTGACTGTATCTTTAAAAGTGAAGTGAGAAAATTTTACACCAATCAGTAACAAAGGAATATATGACTAGAGTCACTCAAGCTCCAGCTAAACATAAAGAAATAATTTAAAAGTAAGTCCAGAATAGGGGAAAAGTGAGGGAAGACTCAATCATAACTGCTGGGATCAGCTGGTGGCCTGAACCTGTCTTCTCTCCCATTGGGATGCCTATTGGGTAAGAACTGTGCTCTACATGCACTGAATACTTTTATTGGGATAGAGCTTGTCTGTGTATTCCTTTAAATATGTTTTTGCAGTCAGATACTATCACAGACAATCTTCAAACCTTAACCTGTCATAATCTATATTAATAAAGAGTGTTATTCTGTAAACTTTTGAAGTGAGTCCTTAACAGGCGCGAGCAGTTGCCAGCAGCGGGAACACTCTCAAATAAGATAGGAAGACCTGCTGAGGGGGTCTCCCTTAAGCTTTCAGCTCAGCCTTCTGAAAAGGACAGTTGAACCACCCTCTGATCCCGCAGGACTGTGTGGTGAAGGGTCTCCATAATAGGATGCTGACAGACTGGTCAGGCAGAAGGGTCTCGGCTTTCTTGGGACACTGAGACAAATAAATCACTAAGGGTTGAGGAAATCTCCCTTTTTCATGTGACAGTCATTAACGAAAGGTCAGATTAAGGAAAACACATGGAAATATTTGCTTATAATACATGAAAATAGACAACTCAGTTACTAAGATTTATCCAGGTTTGCATGCAAGTTGTATGAGCAGATCTTATTTAATCTCCATATTTAAGACTAAAATTAATGTGGTGCAGATTATTTTATTTCCTACCAGTGGTGGTGGTAGTTATTTTTTATTTCCTACTGGGTGGCACTCACAGAAGAGAACCTTAGGAATGTACTTTTTTTTTCACAGTACCGTATTTCAAGGGTTATCTGCATGATTTCATTTTGATTCAAATTTTCTTCATCTGTTTTTCCTTTTCTTTCCCTCAGCTGGTGTGTCTGAACTATGCAGGAACGCAGCTTGAAAGCTACAAGACCAGGAAAATAAAAGTCAAAGATGAAGGAATGGTAGGAGTCTTGGTATGCCTTGCTATAGAAGGGAAAGAGAAAACAGAGAAAAAAAAAAAGATTTTTTGAGACTGTGCTTTTATTTACATTTTGGTGAGACAGTATTGGAAGTATGATTCTTGTTGTCATTAACCTGATTTAATATAAATTCTACTCCTTGGAGCCTATCCTTGTTAAAGCAGAGAATTCTTTCAGTGACTTAAGGTATATACTGTTGATTGCATTCAGTATTGATTTTTAAGGATTAACACCAGTAGTATAAAATCAGTTAGCATTTGGAACTCAAAATTTAAATCTTGGTTACTCACCTTTCTCAAAACATATGTATGCACATAATCATTACAAATATTTATCTTTTTTTTCTTTTTTTTTTTGGCGGGGGGTGGGGGATATATTTTCTGGATGGTCCTGTGTTTATTCCTTTTCTTTCTGTATTCAGTTTCTTGTTCATACTGATGTCAGTGTTTTTATTTCTTGAGTATTTAGATAATTGAGATTTATCCTTACTGTTTCTAATTTTGCATTTAAAATCAGACTCAGCTGACCAAACTCTTCTAAAATTCATGAAAAGTTGTGAAAATTACTTACCAACTTTACATGGCAGAAGGTTTTATATCAGAGCAGACTTTGATATATATTAGTATATTTTTTTCATATGTATTACAAGCCATCTATTAGGAAGCCAGTAGTAATATATATCTTCTGCATCATAGTGCTATGTTTCTTTTCCAAACCCACTAAAAACAAGGCAACACCAAAAAATCAGTCATTCCATTCCAAAAAATATGCTTCCTAAAATGCAATTTATTATAGTCTCCTTCCAAAGCTAACCTCTATGAATCTGTGTGTATTATGTGGTAGGACTATTCACCTTTCTCTCCTCCTAATACCAAAATATAGAGCAAATTAATAATTAAAATCTCATTAATACATTGAATTTCATGTTTGGAAGTGGAAACTAACACATGGACAGCAAAATTTTAGTCCTGCTCTGTAATAGATGGACTCAATCTTTTTAGTTGCTTCAGATGTAATGCATGCAGACTTAGAAAATTAGATATTGTTCCTTTCTCGTGTGTTGCTGAACCCTGAAGAAAAAATATTACCCAATATGGAACCTTGATTATGTTTATGCCTTTTTTTCCCTCTTAATAAAGGTAATATAATTTTAGTAGAATGACCACATTCATTTTCTAAGGAATTAATCTTAGGTAGGCATCTACATATTACTCAATAAAAATACATTTAAAACAATCACTCAGTAACCAAGAAAAATTATCAGATGTGTCCATGCTTCTCTCTGCATTTAAGAAAGTAAAATTTTTTTTTGTGCAAGTCAAAATGTCAAAATATCAAATGCTCCAGTGTGGCAGGAGAAAGAAACAATCAAAATTCTGGACATTTTAGAGACTGGCAATGAGTTTCAGAAACTGACTAACTAGAACCTCACTGTATACTTTGAGCAGGGGTATAATGTAATTGCATAATTTTCTTTGATCTGTCCTCTTTACTCAAAGTGAGAAGCAGCTTATCAAAGCTCAAAGTAAGTTATTTAATTAACTAAGGACTTGTATGTGAACAACTGTCATTGTTTTTTCAGTATGAGATCATATAGACATAGAGAAGGAAATTCAGGAGCTAGAATGTGGAGAGCAAGGAGGAGCTGGGTTGGTTTCAGAGAGAGCTCTTTGAAATTTAGGCTCTTTGTTCTGAGTAAAGCTTACATATGCATTTTAGATGGTTATAAAAAAGTTATTTTCCATACTACATTTAGAGCTCTGATGTTGGATGACTTGCATAAATACTAGCCCGTCCCTTTACAGCAATGTGAAGTGCATTCATTCCTTAAAGTGCTTGAGGAACAGAATCTTACAGACTCCACCAAAATAAGAGAAGCTTTAATAATAATCCCATGCTTAAACAACCACCATGGAGTGTTCACCTTGCAGCAGAATCATGGCAGTCCTGCTTTAACTCTGTTCTTAAACTTAAATGTTCTTAAAACATTGAGTCAACTTTTAGATGGTTCCTCAAGTCTTGGTCTTCAGCAGATTGTTTACGTATGTATTATACCAACATTTTTGTTAGGTGTGCTCTTCATGCTGGGATCAGGATTGTAGGAAACTGTATAAATAAGCTTAGAGCAGTAATGATGAAACAGACATTTACAGTTGTTGCTGCTAGAATCTCCATGGTTTCCCAGCAAGGGACTGCAATTCTACTCAGGATTGTTTCATGAGAAATCAGCAGAATCATAATTCTGGTTATAGCAATGGGAAATGAGCCAAAAAATTGTTGCCAAGGAGGAAAACCCCTTCTTGCACTGAAGAAGCCTCATGTGCGATATTTCGTCTATTTAGAGTAATTTCTGTGGTCTGTACTAAAGGCATTATCTCCCAGGAGATCATTATCTGATGATTGCATTCCATCATGGATTGGTCTCAGTGACCTGAGTTCTGTTGGAAAATATTTTTGTAACACCTGCTACATCCCTGTCTCCTGTTGGAAATTTAATTTCTCTTTTGGCCTGATGGTTTGCTACATTTCCCACAATCTGTTCTCCTCTGTTACAAAGCAGTGTTCAGCAAGAGTATGACCTACTGTATTATCATCCTTTACTGGTACTTCTTCATTGCATCTGTCAATATTTTGCCAAAGGAACTTGCTCTTAGATACTTCCTCTTCCTACACAATTTTTTTCACTTCTGCTTTTCCCTGTGTTTCACTGTCATTGCTATGGGAACTGCTTATTTACATTTTATTATGTTGGGCAAGTTGTTATATTTGTATCAAAATATAGCTGAGATAAAAATTTCCATTTTCAAAACAGAATTTTAAACTCGGTATATTTATATGTTTTTTACAATATGCCGTGTACTTATAACAAAGTCATAGGACTGGATTTGCATATGCCTTGTATTAAGCCTCCTATGACTCCTGGAGGCTTTCCCAGTACTTTATTAAAATCATATGCTTTAGTTTTTCATAATTAGAAAGATATTTGAAATGTATTGAAATATTAAAATTGTGTTAAGATAGGATATGCTTTATTTTATGGCCTCATTCTAGCTATTCTCAATTTTCTTTATCCATATTTTTGAAGGATTAGTCATTCTTCTCCACTGACGTGAGTTCTTATTCTAACGTTTCACATTAAAAGTGTGGAAAATGATACAGTTAGATGCTATTCTTTTTGTCCAAAAAATGCAACATAAAGAAGGCCCCATTTTAAAGACTTTCAGGCTTCTGAAATGTAAGAAGAAACAGAATTTTAAAAAGAGAAAACATCTAAAGGCCAATTTTTGTCTGTCTGAATCTTAAAGCAAAAAGCACTCTTAAGAAAAGCATCTTAGATGAACAGTGCATGTTAAATTGCAAACTGAGAACTCATGTTACAAAGCCCTTTCATTTTCAGAACTGTATGCAGAAATTACTGTGAACTTTTATACAGGTTTCCCTTTTTGAGGGCTTTTTGAAGTTCCCCTTTAACTGGCTGCTCTGCATCCTGATTGAGGCTCAGCACATTTATATCCAAAGGAAATCACATCATGGCTAAAAGTAAATGGCATTGCTTCAGAAGACTACTACTTCTTACAGAAATAATTTTTTCAATCTCCTTTTGATCTTCCAAAAAAAATTTAATATAATTATTTAAAGCAGAAAAACCTTTAAGCTTTCAGCTGTTACTATAACCTATAAAAATAGCCTTTTGTAATAAATTAATTACCTTTTCAGTTCATGTATTCATTCAGAACTGTATATGCAGAATCACAGTGTTACCTGTAAATGTCACATCAAGTCCTACCTGTAAGTGGTACCTTGAAAAAGGGTAGGTCAATTTTTGCTTCTGAACATTTTAAGCCAAATTACTGTTTTCAAGTGACCTCAGAATGGAGAGATATAAATTACTTTACCCAGCTGTGGAGAGCAATGATTTATAATTTTGTTCTGAATCTTCCTAAAAAAACAGAGATTTGGTTCTTTCAAAAATTAATTTGTTGGCAAGCTACAGTTAACTGTTGATAAGAAGGGTTTTGGGTGGGATAATTTCTATTGTTTTGTTTTTTCTTGGTTTTTCTTTGTTTGTTTTATGGGTTTTTTTTGGGTGGGTTTTTGATTATTTTTTTTTTGTTTTGTTGTTTTTTGGTTTTCCCCCACAGAAATTATCAGGCTGATTTTCATGACAAATTAGAGTTCTGGCCTGTGAAGAGGAATTAGGCAGTATATGCAGTGGGTTTTTTTTCCTCTTGATGATCTATTTGGCAGAATCTATCACACAGTAATCCTCAAAGGGTACCATTTTCATCTCTGAAATGTTCAGAATGGCTATTGACTACTGTGAATTGAATTAAGGGCCAGTCTCTGGATACATTATTGTGTCCATAGTATTTTCACCAAGGCAAGTCAATATGAGATGCCTTTTGCTTTTTTTATTTCTAAGAAAATGCAAAATCCATCTTTGAGCCCAAGCTTTCCCACAAATACTTTTAAACAGTAAACTCGTCAGACTTCAAAAAAAAGAGACTACCTATGAGGCCTTCTGCTTGCTAGACAACAAAAAAGAAGAGAATTGTCTTTCTTATATCGCTCTTTGGAGAAAGCAGTTAGATTCTTTGGTGATGAATATCCATCTGAACACAATTTTTAGGGTCAGCTGAGGTCAACAGAAGTTATTTTAGGCTGATTTCTCATCTCAGAAGCTATACTTCAGCTGAGTGGTCTGATTCACTTGAACTGGATGGGAAAAAAACCCAAACCAAACATTTCCTTTTAATATTAGACCCCTGTGTCCATCTGCCTTTCTGAGGTAGTGCCCAGTGTTCATCCGTTACCTTCAATACTTGTCTTTGAAAACTGTCTTTTATACAGAGATACAAGTGCTTGCCCTGAGATGAGTATCTCTCACTTGTACAGTGGGAAGGTTTGGTTTCATCAAAATCGGTTATCTTTTGTGAGCAAAAATCTGTCTGTTCTTTATTAAATTCTATATCTTACATTAATAGGAAATGACTCAATTTTTAAAGGAACATTTAAAATTTTTTATCTGGTTCAGTTGTTTTTCTTTTAAATGCAAATATTTTATAGCAGCAGGCCTTACAGGATTTTGGAGAATTTTTTTGTAAGCAACAATCCTAGTTATCATAATACATCAGATCTCCTTGAGCCCATATTTTTTATTTTTGTGTAAATTAAAGTATAAAACCAAAGTAATTTTTTAACTTGAGACTTGGCTTTGAAAGCCAGTAGCATGGTATTTCTCCTGGTATCCCCCAACTGAAATTTGTTCTAATTTGACATATATACCAAAATTTCTTGCAGCTAAATCCCACACAATTCATTGCCTCTTTATTTGGTTAGTTTCTATTGTCCTTCTTGAGTGTTTAGTGTATACACTGGATCCACTGGTTAAAAGAATTTACTGCAATATTTTATATGTACTGTAAAATTTTA